CACTGAGTAAATTATTCTTCTAATCTTCCAAGAATCTTCCGAAGTAGGCCTTGCACAACAAACCCATCCCATCCTCTTATTCCCATTCCTACCTCATCCCCGTCCCCATTTTCCACATCCTCAACCTTGTCTTATAGTCAGGAAATGGAAGCTTGGAAAAGTCAAGCAACCTGGCCCAGGCTGTGTGCTAACAAGTGATAGAAGCAGGATTTGAACTCAGGCAATCTGATGCCAGGGTCACTGGCCTTAATCACTATATTATACTACCCCTAACTAGTAACTAGACACATGGCTTCAGACAAGTGCATTTTTCTTTCTGGGTATGGCCCCTGTCTGTAAAATAAGAGGGGTGGCATAATGTTTCCTCAGTGTGAGAGACATACCTGATGGCATGTGAAGTGGTTTTCGTGGTTCACACACACAGCATTAAATTATATCAATTCACACAGTGAGAAGATGATTACCTTTTCAAGTCTCTTTTAAGTCTTCCAATGATGTTGGGGAAAATGTTCAATCTGATGCTAGCATATCTTTAACATTTCTCCAGCACATGCTAACTTCCATTTTTACAAGAGCTTTCCATTTTTATTGAGCTTCAAAACCCAGGGTCTTCAGTAGGTAGTGATATTTACCTAGAATTTAGTATCACTATTGTATTATTTTGCTTGTTTGTTTGTTTTTAATTTATTTATTTTAATTAGTTTCAAGTATACAGTACATTGGTTAGACATCTATATAGTACATAAAGCGGTCCCCCCAATTGCTCCCTCCCTCCTCTGACCCTCCACCTAGCCAACATATAAATGCTAACTGCATTCCCTATGCCATGCTCCCCATCCCCAGGAACATCCATCCAGCTACTAATTTGTACTTTTTCAACCCTTCACCCCGTTCTCCCAACCCCCTAAACCCCCTCACCTCTGTCCATCACCAAATTGTCCACTATATTTGTGAGTCTGTTTTTGAATAGTTTGTTCTTTTTATTCCTTAGATTCTGCATATAAGTGAAATCATATAGTGTTTATATTTCTCTGTCTGACTTAAATATCTTCTAGGTCCATCAAAGCAATATCTTTTTCCATCCCTTTCCTTTTTATATGCAGGGGTCTTGTTTTCATATCCTTTCAGCCACTCTATCTTTTGGTCGGAGCACTTAATTCTTTTCCATTTGAGGTACTTATTGATAGGAATGTAGT